TTTAAAGTTTCAGCGCAGCTTGTTCGCGACGGAGAAGGCCTTACAACTAGAAAAACTAATACAAACTGTTCCCAAACAGTACCAGATTCGAATTCCTTTACTCTGAAAACCTTTGGTCAAACTTTATAAAAAACACTTTTTTCGTAAGAAAGTGTTTTTTTGCAAAAAAATTTGAGTGAAAAATTTTTAAAAACTAATATCAGATTTGGATTCCTCGATCTCGAAAACCTTTTGTCAAACTTTATAAAAAAAACAGTTTTTTCGTAAAAAAGTGTTTTTTTTGCAAAAAAAATTGAGTGAAAAATTTTTAAAAACTAATATCAGATTTGAATTCCTCGACCCCAAAAACCTTTGGTCTAACTTTATAAAAAAACACTTTTTTCGTAAAAAAGTGTTTTTTTGCAAAAAAATTTGAGTAAAACATTTTTAAAAACTAATACCAGATTTGAATTCCTCGACCCCAAAAACCTTTGGTCAAACTTTATAAGAAAAACACTTTTTTCGTAAAAAAGTGTTTTTTTGCAAAAAAATTTAAGTAAAACATTTTTAAAAACTAATACCAGATTTGAATTCCTCGACCCCAAAAACCTTTGGTCAAGCTTTATTTTACGTGTTGAAATGAATCACCCTAGTGCTATTATGACTGAGCGAACATACGAACATACAAACGAACATACGAACGAACATACGAACGAACATACGAACGAACGAAGATAGCTCACTCAGCGTATGACCCTCCTTTCAGTAGAGGGAATAATTTCAAGAAGATGAATCAATATTAAAGTTAAATAGGTTAAATTAACGAAAATTAAAATAATTCATTATTGATATTTCCTCTAGTTTTTACTGCAATTTTTTTTGTTCAAATTTGACTTTTATCTCAATGAAAACGAATTTTGTACTGGCAATTCACATATTTTTTTGACGAATATTTTCTCTCGTATGAAAAATTTTCCAAATGAATTTCGGTTTATTTATATACAGGATAGGTCAATAGTAAAGAAACAATAAAATTTTTTTGATTTCATCTCAACACATGAATAATAAAATCTCTTATTTACAGCGCATATACTAGGTAGGGAGATAGTCACGTGTGTAGTATATTATCAGTCTCTGGGCTCAATATATTTTATATCGTCTTTTGTGACTGTAGTAAAACTGACCGTTTCCTTGTTAAATTTTATTTTCGCTTTTTTTGTTTGGTTGAACCAATTTGAAGAATAAATCGAATAGTATATTCTTTTGTGGATTTATTTAAGATAAAACACTGCAAAAAACAAAACAATACAAATATGCTTTAGTTTACATATTGGTACAATCAGAAGAAAAATGGTTATCAAATTCTGCAAGAAAGCAATAATTCGTGTTTCCGTCACATAGGAATACACAAGATAAACCGGTTTGTTTTTGAAACAAACTATTAAGCTCAGAGATGAATGATATCCTACGCTTCTGACTATCACTACCTAGTATATGTGCTATTCATGTATAGAGACGAAATTGAAAAAATGTCGGATTTCCTTACTTTTGACCCACCCTTTATACATCGATGAAACCTTCTACTTGTCGTTTCTTTTCATTAAACTTCTGAAAGACTCATCCGCGTCTTTATCTTTGTGTCAGTATCATCAATCTTTATTTACCTTCATCATGCATCTTGCCACTTCTTTCATCTTGTCTCTTTGTGCCTATTCATGAAACCATACACACAATTTGAGTTCTCCTCTTTTTTTTTCTATACTTTTCCTAATGGCATGCTACTATTTGCCGTTTTTCCTAGGTTACTATATACAGTTGCTGTTGTATGTGTGTATGCATACGATATCACTAGGATGACTAATGTATGGTCATCAGTAATTGAATCAAGCCATTGTTCTTTGTTTCGAGTTCAGCTCAGTTTAGATTTACTTTTAAAAATTGATTCGGATTCGGCTCGGTTCGACTTTATTTTTGAAAAGTGGTTCGAGTTCGGTTCTATTCAAGTAACTCTAGTTCCACTAAATCAGAAATATATAATAGGTCACAATTTGTTGCTTCCGGTTCAATGAGTTTAAATCGTTTACGAAAAGCATAAGTAGCAAGAAAATCTGAATTAAACGATATTGAATAATAGCTTTTTTCCCTTAATGTGTATTTGCAATGTGTTAAATAGTGGTAGGTTTTTTTTAATTGAGTTTTATAGTGGGAGAAATTTTTCGCAAAAATTTTGCCGCTCGGGGAAATTGTTTATTTTACCGGCAAATTTTGCACGTTTGGTGTCAATATCAATGTGGGGTTAAAATGAGTTGAAACGACTATAAGTTGATTCAACTGACTGAGTTTATGGAACGGTTCAACCAGCTATAATCTATTTTACGGGTTATCCAATCGTTACATAAGAAGATTCTTTATTTTTCCAGTGACGCCGATAAAACTCAAATTTCTTGCGCAAGTATTTATCCAAATGAAATGCTTCTATAGCCAGTTTTGTAGAGCATCGAAAAGGTTTTTAAGCGGTAAAAATCATTTTTTCTAAACTATTTTTGCTCAGATAAAAAATGCAAAAAAACAAACGTAACACCGTTATACAATTTTTTGTCGATCGATTCTGAGAAAGTTAATCTGCTCAGAAGTGTAAGTTGGAAAGTATACAAGAAAGTACGTATTTTTCTTAGCGACGAAAGTCAAAAATAAATGAAGCACTTGTAGAGATTGCATTGAATGGTATGTCACTCAACATTTTTAAAAGAATTTCTTGGTTAGAAAATTTAAAATACGATTTGTGAAAGTTTAAAATGCTATTTCCGATTTCAAAACTCATTCTTTTTAAAGAACATATGTTAAATTCATAATTAGCGCGGAAAACCGCACCTAATAATGTATTCAGAACTGTCCAATTCGAAAAACAAAAAATCTTTCAAGAACTTGACCGATGAAGTATCGCGTTGCGTGGACAAGCCGTTTAATTATTACACTGAATAAAATACAATTAATCAGGTATAAACTTTTAACAAAAAAAAACATTGATGCTTTCCAATCTATTATTCTAACAGAAGCGTGACAAATTTTAAAACAGGAAAAGGAAATGATTATAATAATGCTCACATAGTTGCTTTTTAGCCATTAAAAATTTTGTGCATGACTAATTCGATAGAAAAAAGCATTTACATTTACCAAATGCATATTTTTCTCTTCTTTTTTATTTTTTATTTCTTTAGTTGTTCTTAAAATGTATGAAGTGTCAAGAATATCTGTTACTAATTCTTCAATAATAAACATTGAATCATGGTTTATTCCAGTTGATATTCTGACTATCATATGTATTCTCATTTCTATTTTATTTGTTATGTTATGCTTATTTATTATTATTTATGATAAAACATGTCATACAGTTCCAATGATGCTTGTTGCTAATTCATGTTTATCTGCAATTTTATTTGGAACTATTATATTTAGTATTCGTTTATATACACTTAAAAATGATTGGAAAACAATTGTATATAAAGATTCATTTTGTAGTTTTCGAGGATATATAGGTTATGCTGCATGTTCAATACAAAATTTTTCTTATTTATTACAATCTATTTATCGATATATTATTGTTATTTATCCAAATCGTTTATTTTTTCAATCAATAAGATTTCAATTATTTCTCATTTCTTGTACATGGATCTTTGGTTTTATATATCCGATTGCATTTCTTTTTACTGATCAAATCATATATAATATTAATAATCAAATATGTCAACTTCCTCTTCAACTTTCTTTCTCTGTGATATTTATAGCTAGTTGGGCATATATAATTCCTGTCTCATTAACAATGTTTATTTATTTTAACTTACTTCGATATGTTAAAGAAATTAGTAAACGTGTAATATCAGTGAATAGATTATCTCGTGTAAAAAGAGAATTAAAAATGGTTCGACGTATAGTTGTACTTGTGATGATATTATTTACACTCTGTTTTCCATATACAATGTTTATTTTCCTATCGTTTTTCACTGATCCACCAAAATATCATTTTCGTATTGCATATATATTTATCGATGTATCATTTCTTTTTGTAATTATTGCTTTATTTCAGTCTACAGATCCACTTAAAAAATCTGTGATGAACAAGATAAATAAACGTCCGAATAGGATATTACCAACAGTGGCATAAAGGAGAATTTTTATGTTATATTCTATGTTGTTGTTGTTGTATTAATTTAAATAAAAATTTGAAATACAAATGATATTATTTGTCTTGTCTATAATTGATCAATTAAAAACGATATAAAAGAGATAATCTTTATTAACAGACTGAATCCTATGAAAGAATAATATATAATATCAACGAATAATGATCATTACATGAGTTACCAAGATTTTATTGAAGATAAAAGATCTAATTGAGAGTAGAATACTGTATGGGTACAACTTTTTGTATCTGTATTCGATCTGAACAAGGAATAATCAATCCATACCTTACCTATATCTCAAATACCCGAAATCGACCTTATTTATACCGTAGCCATAATCAAAATTGAGAATATCAGTTCACTATTTTACTTAGCTTGAATGAATAAGAATAAAATAATAACATTTATATGACGACGACAAACAATTATGAAAAACTACAAGAACGGTATGCCAGGAAATGATAAGAGTCATATAGTCTCTAGCGTTCGTCCAGTTTCGCTAAATATGCTTTCATTAGTTGTCAAAAGACATAATGTAACCATAACTAAATAAGATAGTTGTTTATTAACAACTGAATAAGTTTACCACCACTTTAACATTACAAAATGTTTTTGATAAAAAAATTTCTTTTTCATACAGTTATTCATTTCATCAAATTCATAGAAATCAGTATCATCAGAATGCATCATCAATTTCTCGACTGAATGATTTTAATAGGCCGTTGATAGTGGGTAGATTGGCACACGGGTGTGGGTTTGGTTCAAAGAAACATCCACACCCACATTTTTTTTTACAGATCGATTTATTAACATTTCTAGGCTTAAAAGATTTCAATTGATTTATTTTTGACATCATGAACTATTTTTTTCTGTTCAAATGAGACTGATCTCAACAATCATTTCAATCTGGATATGTACGATGAATTAATTTTAATATAGACCAAATGTAATCCCTTTTCATTATCGAATTCTACTTTTTTTACTTGAAATTGTACTCCTGGTAGTAATAAAATTTCTTTTTCGTCAGTGTAATGACTGATAGTTCCCAGATCTGTAAATTGATCTTCGGTTGACGAATAAGATCGCATTTCAATTATATACAAAACATCAACTGCGAAATTTTCAGCCACAACTCGGTCGTATGAAGTGGAAACGAATGGAAGCCATTTAAAATGTTTGGAACAATCTCCAGCTGCCCGTTGATATTCTTCTACAGTGCTGCCAGAATTACGATCGCCGCGATAGAGAGTCATCGATTGAATTTGGCTTGGGCGAAGAACTCGTCGAAGACGATTACGAATTGAAGAATTGTCTTTGAAACGTCGACCAATATAGTTGAATAGCAGATAACAGAAGGGTCCCAGAGTATGCAGTTTCGTTCGATCATCTTCACGCAATGCAGTGTTTACGACATTGTATATATAACACGCTTTTGTATAAAGTTTAGCACAGCAATTTTGCAGCTCTTTTATTCTCTTCTCCGAACTCTTTTCACGAGTGTCCTTTTCGACCTTGTTCAACATCGCCTCGATTTCGTGCACTTCATTTTTTGTATCAGATTGTCCCTCCTTGATCAAACCTTTTACAAGAACAGGAAAAATGGTATCGAATGTAATCTTCATTTTTCCCTTGGTAAATATCACTAGCCAAACGTGAATAAATGGCGAACCATAATAAGTTGTATCCCCTGTTGCACTGCGGCTCACAACTAATCCCAAAGGAGACGAAAATCGTTCACGACGTGATGATTCATCTTCCGTGTCTCCTTCAATGATAGTAATTGAAGGAAGGCGACATCGTCGTCGTCGAACGGGTCGTTGTTGGTGTGGATTGTTGATATACTCTTGTACATAGTGTTTCAAATCAATACGATAATTTTCGCCAATAAATATCTGTTTGAAACCGCGTTTATAAGCTTCTTCGATGTCTGACGATATAGCATTAGAATAAGGTGTCCATTCAGCGGTTTGCGTTGTATCCCATGGATCAGTATTCTTTTGGCATTCCCATATGAACTCATTCTGAAGTGACGACGCCATGTTCAATCAATTAAGTTTTGCAACTTTTATACTGATAATTTTAATGTTACTGCGACAGAAATCTATAACGATCACTACATGAGAGTAACTAACTACTTGGAAATGGTGTCACCACCAAGGGAGAAGGAAGGAGTCAGTCAGAAAGTAGGACGAGGTGGCAATAAGGAAGAAGAATAGGGATGTTTAGTGGTGTATATTTTTCATAAGATTTTTTTAAACGATAAAATTGATGAAGTTAAAAAATTTCAGCGCTATGGTAGAAGTAATTTTTCTCATGGTGACAGATGACCGCAAATAACGAAAAATTTTCTTTCTCTTCAACTCATTTTATCATTGCCAGTGAGTACATTCTCAAGCATTTCAAGTCCGAGAATGGCAATTGTTCGCTTACAGCAAATATCATTCTTCCCCTTGGGAACTAGTTGATTCCATTCTGTTTCGGCGTATTTCACTGGTAACAGATCAGAAAGTCGTCAGAATATAAGAAACCGAGTGACACGATCGATCTAGATTTTCCTCTACATGAAACTTCTAGTCTTTGATCCATCTTTTGAACAGTTTGTACAAAGAATCTGTTGAACAAATAAAAAAGTCTTGTGACCTCAGTCCCTGTGATCTCAAAACTTCTTTACATGAGAAAAAGTTTTGATCAGATGATGGCGCCAGATGCTGAGCATGAAGATAGAAGTTCAAAATAGCCGTTTTTAGATGACGCCAGTTGTTACAGAACACGATAAGTGTAGCTGATACAAATCTCTGTAAACAATTCTAATATTACACACAATGGACGAGCGCGTATAAGAAGTCAAGTCAGCTCACTAGTACCTTTCTAACTCAACCCCATTGACTCATATATCAATGAAAAGAGAATATTGAGACTGACATTTTGACACTAGTTTCATGAGGTTTTTATCTAATTTTCGAAGCTACAAGCAGTTAATGAAGTAAGTAATTTTTAGTCATTAATTCAACAATCGATCTTATCACGGTGGGCTCAGTCTAAGAATAAGATAGTTCTCAAACAGGGTTACTAGATATGAGAATAAAAAATCCAAAATTCAAATGTTAAAAACCGAAAAATTTCGGAATTTCATTTTTAAAATCTGAAAAAAAAATCCAGAAAGATTTTTGCTCAATGTACATTGTTTTCAACTAGATTATCAATATCATTATTTTTTAAATCCACAGAATATCTTTTAATAAAACAAAAGAAAATAAACATCAAAACATAATTAACTCAAAGAATGAGAACTTATAAATTATATATTTCTGAGAACATCGCAGAACCTGCAGGGTGTGGGGATGTAGTTGTGGCTGCAATGAAGATAATAATACCTACACCCACATACCCTATATCCGCACCCCTGCTATGTTAATCACTTAAAAGTGAGATTCGTGTTGTGTACCACTATCATTCTCAGTAAAGTCTGGGCATTTTAAAGGACATTCTGTTTGGCATAACTTATGGTTGAACTATTTTACGTGGAACAACTGTAGCAATCAAGATTATCAATCGTATATGCTCAGTATCTTCAATCGAACTTTCTTGAAATCGGTGTCTGACAATTGAAATGCCTCACTTCTATATCCCGTCATGTTTTCTCGTCAGTAGTCACTCAGGACTTTCAGCTTGAAGTTGATCACTGGTCTAACTCTGTTAGAAATTAAACATACTTACGTATTGAGTAATACTGAAGTATATGAGTTTGTTTTGTGTATCTGTAATAAATTTTGCTTCCTATTTATCGTTAACGTCATTACTTGGTTTTTTCTCACTTAAACATGTTTACATGACTCAGCGATGCATGACATTTTCAGTAGGTAGGTAGTCTGTTTCATCAGTGTGCTCATCATCACATCTATTTCGTTCTTTCAATATTCTCCTTTTTTTCACTTTCCTTTGCATGTGCTGTCGTCACGATGAGAAAATATACGTTAATATTTACATACGCCAGCGCATCACAATTAAAAATGGAAGGAACATGTTGCAATAAGGCCATTTTTTTGTCCACAATTTTTTTCGCTTTTATCTGTTTGAGACGCACCAAAGAGAGTCACTAAAAGTGTTTCATACGCTCCAGTTTTGGAAAATTTCAATGTGAGGCTTACCACCTGAGATCTTCCTAGAATTCGAAAAAAGATTCTTTTCTCAAATAGCTTCAGCAGCACATCATTTATGTGCAATTTTGCGTGCCCATTACGAATATCATTATTTATATTTCGATTAGGTTGTGTTTTATATATGAAAGAAGCTTTTTATCACTAAATGGCCTATAGAGCTGTTGCCCCATACATCAGTCTATCTAATTATGTATGAAAGCATTGTTTTTCTCTTTTCAAAATGTGCTAAAAGGTGTGAAAACATTCGCTCTACTCATTTCACGTAGATTCAGTTATAAAAATAGTCGCCAAGCAATCGAAATGTTTCATGCCATTAGAAATACAGCACCGAAAAACATGATTCCCCATTTAGTGCGACCTTTCAGCATGACAAAACGATCGAGTGTCAAACAGTGATATTTATCACTCGATGCAGGTTTTTATGCTGATTTCGAATATCAACTCAAAAGCGTGAAAACGAATGCACAACATGCTGAAAACAGCTAACAACCCTACAAACGATCAATTTTGAACCTGAATTTACTCAATTTATACGTCAAGGGTGTGGGTGTGGGTGTAAGTAAATGGAGGGGAATGATGCTCACCCACACCCACATTCAGCCCTAACATTTCATACAATATCACGAATATTAGGCACGTTTTGAGTCATGCACATGATAGAAAACGTTATCGAACAACGATATACTTTTTTTCATCATTATTTTTTCATCCAATATCATGTTTTTTTCTTTCTTGTAGTTCGAAAAAAGCCACAACACAATTTATGTAAAAAATTACAAAAAATATGCGTTTTAAGCGATTTTTAATCAGCAAAACATCGATTAAAATCAGGAATTTTTGCCGTTGTTCTTACATAGCTATTGTAACGGCTGGTAGACTGTCTTGCCGTTTGCTCGTTACAGCACTCGCTAACGATCCAATGTGATGCGCCATTTCTTGAAGAGTTAATTTTGAAATACGTTTACACCACGACGTTAACTTATTGCACAGCAAATTCTAAGATCGCTCGCAAAGCCATTTGATTAGCAAAATAAGTGCAGTTTGCCAGCTACGAGATGAAGCTAGCATGTCATAAGACGTACCGTACTTGGGGATGCTACAAGAGAACAGTGATAAAAAAAGGTTAAGTTAATCAAACATGACCTGACCCAATCGCAAGACTCTTTGATAGCTGCTACACGATCATACTTCTCCCTTGATAAATTATCTCGCCAACGATTCTCCAACATCAAACAGATGCGTAAAATAATGACAAGAACCAAACTAGCCGCCACTATTCCAATATAAATAAAATTGTTACGTCGATTGGTTGACTCATCATAATGCACCTAAAAAGAAAGAAAAATAGTTATAAGTTTAGCAATAGTAGGAACAGTCTGACCAAAGGCAATATAATTCCACCAATTTGACCAATACCCACAACAAAGCCGATAGCGATGGATCTCTTGGTATGCCCGCCGACATTATTTGTTAACCAAGAGATTAACAAAGGATATGCCGAGGATATGCCACAAGAAGCAATACAAATACTGACATATCGCGCCGCTTGGCCTCGATCGATCAGAGTGAGCATAAGAATAAAGCCGACTAAAGTAATAGATAGACAAAATATGAGATGAAAGCCGTGCTCATTTCTTCGCGACGACGAATAATTAACCAATAAACAACACACAAATGCGAAAACGTAAGGTGGTGCTGTCATTAAATGTGCTTCAGCTTTCGATTTACCCATATTTTCGACCAGCAATGGAAGAAACGCATTTATATATTTGATAACACCCAAAATACCAATATTAATCAGTGCATACAAATAGATTCGCCAATCGATAAAAACATAGAATACTTGTCGCCATGAAAGTCGAACATTTTCACCATCGGATATGCCTGCATCGTGTCGGAGAAGATTTGTCAAAAGCTGTTTTTCACTGTTATCTAACCCTTTATTTTTAAAATAAATCAGTTAAGAATATTTCTTACTATCCTATGAACTCTTACATTGTACAGTATCGGGTATATTGCTGAGAAAAAGACAGGTTATGATACCGAGAGGAATCATCGGCAAACCTTCAAGCAAAAACATCCACTGCCAACTATTCAGACCACGAGTACCATCCAGGTATGTGAAACCATACGCCTAAATTTATTATAAGTATCACGTATCTTATGAAATCGATGAGTACATACCAGAATACCACTCAAAGCACTGGAAATGATAGCAGCTCCAAAAAGAATAGCTATTCTCATAGTTTGGTCTCGTTTACGATACCAGAATGAGAAATATATGACAATACTGGGAAAAAAGCCTGCTTGAGTCATACCCTTCGACAAAAAATCAAAGATGTTGTGTTATTCATAGAGATTCGATTCACTTACGAGAAGAAATTGAACAGACAATAGTTCTCGAGCATTTCTTACGAAAGCCAAACCAACAGTGATACTACCCCATGCAAGCAAACTCAATGACAGGTAACGAGTCGCGCCAAGATAGCGCATGAGAAAATAGCTAGGGATTGCAAAGATCATCTAAAACAAAGTATCCATTCAAAAATATTACCATTCAATAATGTAATTTTCTCACATAGGCCAGAAAAAAGAGTGAAATATCCAAATTACTCTCATATTCTGACAAATTCAGATCGCTTTCGATTTCCATCAGTTTCGCATGACCTAGAAGACTAACATTAACAATGGATGATTTAAGTCAAAGCTGCCTACCAGTACTGATTCGGTTCATGTATGATATCACTTCGATAAGAACAATAAATGGAATGAGTCGCCAATCAAGCTTTCGAACAAGGCGACGAACGGCGATTTCTTCAAATTGTTGCTGAATTGTTTCATCAATAACAAAGATGTTATCTATTGCCACGGTAGCTATTGGTATCGGTTGGACACTCATCGACGCAACAGTTACACGCAAAGTGAGCGATATGTGGCTATTAGTAATAAAGATGTCAATATCTGTTTTCATACAAATATACAGCACATTTTTCTTCTTTTCTGTTCTTTAGAAAGCGGCGCAAAAAGGACCTGTCATGTGCAAGATGAAAGGAAAAGATAAAAGGGTGTGGGTGTGGGTCAGAGACCGTCACAGGACAGGACAGGGCAAAATAGTTTGCCCTGCTATCTTTTTTGTAAAAAGTCATTGGAGAAATATTCTCTAAATGTAAATATAAAACTTTGAAAACATATATATTCTATATAACTTCACCAAATGTTGATAACTCTATGTCTTCAGTTGATGTCATTACATCTTTTCGATCATATACTCCTTCTAATTCATCACCGTCTTGCAAGAATTTTGTCGATTTTGAAAACATCCGAGATCTCATAGCACATCAAAAGCATTCATACCATATAATAAGAAATGAATCTTCATCTTCTGCTAAATACGGAAGAATCTTTGATTCCTGACTTCACTAAATAATGATAATCAATTACAAATATCTACTAGCTTTATTGATAGATACATTGTTTTCATATAAATATTCTACTGGTGTCACACATCCATTTAGAAAAACCTAGAGAAACTGGATGAATATCGATAACGTTTGATTTAAAATCTGTTACATGGCACTATTTTCACCCTTTTATAATATTATCTTTAGCCTAAAATTTAGATTTTTTTTACAGCTTTTAAGAGTTTCCCAAATCTTTTTGATCAATTATGATTCATTAATAATCTTAATTAGTAATAGTTGTCAAATCATATTAATCGATTAAAAAGAATTGAAAAAATCTTTGAAAATAGAAAAATTGGAACTGGAATTAAAGCATGGATCTTAATCGGATGGATCACAGCGCCATTTTAATAGACTTTTAATCGGAATGAATCTATTTTAATGCGATTTCTTTCTCTATTGTTTTGCGTGAATAATAGTCTGTCGAACGAGGAAAAAAGATACGACTACTCAGCATAAAAACGACACAAGTTTTCACTAAGTTATCAATTCCCCTCATACCTAAGCTCAATGTATAGGCCCTGCAGGGCGCCCTGCTCTGCCCTCAGGGCAGGACCAGGGCGGATTTTTATTTTTATCTGTGCCCTGAGGATAGGACAGGGCAAGGTAAGGCAGGGCACAGGGCAGGGCAGGGCAGAAAAAAGTGCCCTGTGACGGTCTCTGGTGTGGGTGTGAGTGGGTGTGGCTGTGGATGTGGGACGTAAGTGAAGTTGGCACTCGATTCGGGTATTTCCAGCACCGATTTGCTTAGGAATCTGGGTGTGGGTGTCAGTGTGTGCATGTGGGATGTGTGTGGGTGTCAGTGTGTGCATGTGGGATGTGTGTGGGTGTAGGTGCATGGTTATGGGTATGTGTCTGGGGGGGGGGGGGGGGAGGGGGGGGAGAATATGGGGGGGGGGGGTGTGGCTCTGGCTGTGAAGATCATAATACTCACATCCACGCCCACACTCACACATTTACATTGACACCCACATCCACGCTCACACCCACATCCACACTCACACCCACACCCACACCCACACCCACACCCACACCCACACTCACACCCACACCCACACTCACACCCACACTCACACCCACACCCACACGCACACCCACACCCACACCCACACCCACACTCACACCCACACCCACACTCACACCCACACCCTCAAGGTAGTCTAGCTGAGGCCTTTATGTGGGCAAAGTTTTAAGTCAAAATTCGAAAGTATAGCTTTGCTACAAAAGTGAGGAGCTACAGAGAAAATTCACTAAAAACTTGATATCTCTCCAGGAACACGCCATGGGCACGAACTCTTTTAGGGTTTTCTTAGTCTCATTGAGTCCTACTAGTAGCCAAAACATGGGCTCGAAGGGTGTCCGACAGTTGGATATGTTCCCTCGTCAGTAAAATCTAGGCATTTTAAAGGACATTCTGTTTGGATTACTTTACATGGAACAGCTGTGCCAATTAAGATTATCAACCCCATATGCTCAGTATCTTCAATCGAACTTTCTTGGAATCGGTGTCTGGCAATTGAAATGCCTCATTTCTATATCCCTCATGTTTTCTGGTTAGTAGTTACTCTGGACTTCCAGCTTGAAGTTGATCACCAGTCTAATAATGTTAGAAATTAATCATACCTACGTATTGAGTAATATTGGAGTGTGCGAGTTTGTTCTGTGTGTTTGTAACAAATTTTGCTTTCTATTTATCGTTGACGAAATTACTTAGTTTTTTCTCATTTAAACATGTTTACGTGAATCAACGAAGCATGACATTTTCACCAGGTGGATAGTGTTTTTTCATCAGTGTGCTCATCATCGCATCGATTTCGTTTTTTCAATATTCTTCTTTTTTTCGCTTTCCTTTGCATGTGCTTTCGTCACGATGAGAAAATATACATTTATATTTACATACGCGAGCGCATCACAATTAAAAGTGGAAGGAACATGTTGCAATAAGGCCATTTTTTTGCGCACGATTTTTTTCGCTTATATCTATTTGAGACGTATGAAAGAGCCTCTAGAAGTGTTTCATACGCTTTAGTTTTGGAAAATTTCAAAGTGAGGCTTTCCCCTGAAGTCTTCCCACGATTCAAAAAAATATTCTTTCTCAAATAGCTTCAGCAGCACATCATTTATGTGCAGTTTTGCGTGCCCATTACGAATATCATATTTATATTTCGAGTAGATTGAGGTTTTTATATGAAAAAAGCTTTTTACCGCTAAATGGCCAATTGAGGGTATGGATATGGATGGGCGTGTGGGTGTGAGTAAATGGGAAGATGATGCTCACCCACACTCCACACGCAACCCATATCCACACCCTACACCCACACTCCCCCTCACCCACATTTATCAAACGCAATCTGATCAACGTAATATTAATTGAGAAGTAAAACCGCTTCATTACGTGACTCAATTACTTGAAGCTAAGAAAAAAAGTCCACTTTTACTTCTAAAAAGGAAAACTCAAGTATACCACTCTTATGTTACTCTTTAAACCAGTACTACGTATCCCATTCAACTCCAATTAATGGATGACGTATGAGTGGCGCCCTTGTCACCATCTTGAGCTCTGCGCTTAAAGGCCTTTGAAAATCTATGACAAATAATGCAAGATAGTTCTGGAAAAGTTAGCAGTACCTGACATTCTTCATGGAGTAGTCCTTGAAGAATAACCAGAACTACAGCAAGAGAGTGGTTGAAAAGTTAATGATACCGAATCTGGACAGCTATTCATGGCTTATGGGTACTGCTCATGGAAAGTGCTTGAGGACTAATGGGTATTCCCATAGGATAGGTAATGAGAACTAATGGGTGTCCCCATACCAAACCATTTCCGACCAATTCCAAGTTAAGAATTGAAATTGTGGAATTGGTGCATCCCTACTTGAAACTTCAAGTATTCAATAATTAAATTCAAGTTTCAAGTTTGATATAAATGCTTTTCAGAACGCAAGTACATTTTCTTCCGTGTGCTACAAATCACCTAAGAATAAAATCTTTCTCTCTTTTCATTTTAATGCAAAATAAAGCCATTCATTAGTTTTCTGTCTCTTTATATCTTTTTGTTATTTTTGGCACAACATAACTATCCATTGTAACATATCAATTTAATGAATAAGTAAGGTGGGAATAGAAAAAATGAGATAAAATATGTTTACTAACGAGGAAACATTTTCAGGTGTTGAAATTTTTTTCAGTTGGAGTTTCGTGCATCTTGTAGACCTTAGTGAGCTGTGTCTATGGTAATAAAAGTTTAGGTTTCTGGCTTATTTCTGTGGAGATAGAACGTTTTTACTATTACACCTATAAGGATCATCTTATCAAGAAGAAAGCACTATGTCAACCAATTGAAGTTGAAACGGTCGGAGATTTTTTTTCACATATAGCTGTGCTAATATTTTGTAAAATTGATAACTCGATCTTCCCAAGGTTGGTTGAGCTCAGACCGTTCTAACTTCTATTGATTGACATAGTACTTTATTCTTGATAAGATGGTCCTTATAGCTGTAATAGTAAAAACGTTCTATCTCCTCAGAGACAAGCCAGAAACCCGAACTTTTTTAACCATGACACAGCTTAATAAGGCCCACAAAATACACGGAATTCCGACTAAAAAGCGTTCCAAAACCTGAAAATGTTCCCTCGTAAGTTTTGATTTTCTCAATCAATGTTATCTTTTTTCTATAGTACCTTATTGAAGAAAGCCTCTTTAATACTATAAAACATATAGACAATATTTGAATTATCTGAAAAATCTAACTTTTCGCTTTTATTGGATCAGATTTCTCGGAAATAGAGAACAAATCAACAGGAAGACTCAGGTAGAATTAAATTGTTCACGTAAACTAAGAGTTAATAAATATTATTTTACTCAAACAAAATACTAATATCTCTCTTCCTGTCTCCTCGTTCATCTCTGGTTCTGTCGCCGTCGATAGTGTTCTCCAACTGCAATTCGTGATCCTACTTCTTGAAATGGATAGTTCAATGCCCCCATCTCGTGTTTTTTTTCATGATTATAGAACAAACGATTAAAAGTCAGCTAAATAATGTGTGGATTAAACAAATTTTCTAATCATATTTATTTTGTTTACTTCCATTTTCTTCTCAGTTTTATAGAGTTGTTTGTGTTTTTTCTTTAATGCATTAGACAAAAACACTGGTTGAATGATCGACATTATGTTACTTTTCTGCTTTTCTTTTTATCTCACTGATCAAATAAACTATGTCAATAGCTGATTATAATAGAAAACCTATGTGAATAAAAGATAAGATTTTTAATCATAGTAACGTTTGTCTGTTTGAATAAATTTATTCAATGTGTGAAAGAAAACAAAGATCATCACGTGATTATATAAAATGAGACGAAAAAGTAAGAATAATACTCTCATCTGAAATGCAAATAAACCGAATATTTCAACTGAGATAGAAAAGCAAACACTCGAACGTTTTGATTTTTAAAGAGTATTAGTTAACTTCATTTGAATACCAACAAAGTATTCACAAACGCCTGTTTATCTAGAAAATAATATCTTTTTTCAAAAGTTTAATTAATATTAGTGAATAGGTTGTTTTTGTCAAAAAGAACGATGCACTTTTTCACTCTTCTTTGTTTGTGTATTAACAATTAACTGTACAAACAATATTGAATCTTCAGTTTCCTTCTGTTTACATATGCTTTTTCAATGAATAAAAGCTTTTTCGTAGCAACTATAAGTGTTTATACTTGAAATGCAAGAAAAACAGTATTGATTTTATCAGTGCATAAGACATAAACATATTTTTAATACAGCACGGAGAATATGAGAACTTTTTATTGCACACTAGTATTCAATGTCTAATCAACTTTTGTTGACTAAGATAATCTCCTAGATAATTTTAATCTTAACGACGAATGACTGATTCTTGATAGATATGCATTTTTCGTCTATGAAAACTTTTTTGTACATGTGATTAATCAGTCAATAGTCAATTTATTCACATTTAAAGAATAATGGAACAGTTGACCAGACAATTCGTCGCAATACTATAATCCAATTATAAATCCGTCTGTACTTTTTCGTCGCCTAAATGTTTGATGTTATTTAGTGAGTGAAGTAGTGATGAACTACTTCACTTAGTCTATTGTTGATGATAATTTGGGCGAAGATAAGGAACTTACTTCTGAATCCAGAGAATACAATGATAGATTCGTCTAGAAACAAAGAAAAATCACGTTTCTCGATCACTGATTTGGAATTATTGATTTCGTTCATACAAGGAAGAGTCAGACTAGCTACTTTTTATTTTGATTGATATCTGCACGCCATTGAAAATTGAGCAAGTGGTTTTAAAAATTAAGAACCTTGCATAATGACATTCGATAAAGACAACATTAACGAAACCAAAAATAAAAGGCTTCTTGTGATGGTTATATATTTGAAACAGTCTAACATAATTGTTTTTGCTACGACTTTTTACTCAACAATGTTTCAAACGTTTGATACTCAATTAACTCATTTGCGTCAATAACATAGAGGCTTTAGGCTCCTGGAAGTCACCTCTATCACTTAATATTTCCAGTCCAACCCACTTTCAAACAGGTGCTTAACTGTCTAATTTTCCTCCGTGTCATGATAGATTTGTCACTGCATTCTCTAGATTCAGAAGTGAGTTTTATATCTTTGCTCACTAAATAATATCAAACGTTTATGTGATGGAGATGTGTGCAAGGATTTGTAATTGGATTATAGTGTTGCGACGAATAGTCCTAGGAATAATTGAGCATACTCAACAGACAGAAAATTTTCCTATTTTTATTATGGCAATAAAAATATTCATTGAAGAAATAGTCAGATTTTTTTTTCTCTGATCACTTTTAGAAAAAAAAAGGGAGTGATTACTTTTTAAACAGTATATATTGAGTTTTAATGCCTGAGAGAAAAAATGAAAGAATGAAAACAAAACTCGTATAAACTTCGTCGCAAAATGGAAGAGATGTCACAATACGTTAAGCAAAAACAAAAGAAAGTTGTTTGCTTTTGTTTTTAAAGCCAGACATTCATTACAACGATTCAATAATCTTTATCAATCACAATGCTATTGCTCGGATATTGGACCGTTATCCTTCTTAATTTTGTTATAAACGTTCGATGTGTACCTGCATCACAAGTATGTTATTCATAGATCACATATTTCTAAATTTTAAATGTCATAAATTCAGTCCTTCGATGCAACTCAAAGTCGATTCATATCTAATCCTGAACGAAATGGTTCGTGTATATATATATTATAAATATATCTGTTTTGGTAATTTATTCTGTTTCTAGAAGGACTTGTGGGAGGTGATATAGTTCCTCCACCCTTTACTAAATCTCTTACGGGAGTAAGTCTTTCGAACTAGAATGAAATCAATATAACTATTTGAAAACTTTAGCGTGGTGTTGCAGTACGACCGGCATGGTACCATCGATGGTCAGGTGGTGTAGTGCCCTATGAAATTGCTGGAAATATTAGTTCGTATATTGTTTCTTATATATAAATAAAGATTGGAATTTTGCTAGCTGTCAATAATTCAATTTTTATTGTTAATCAGATGAGAGCAATGGAAAGTCTTACACAAGTCAATAATACACAATGTATTTCATTTCGTCCAAAGAATGCAACCGATCTATACTATATTACAATTTTTAATGGATCTGGATGCTATGCTCCAGTAAGCAGAAAAAATATCTTGTCAAAAAATCACTATTTCTTTAATAAGGTTGGATCTTGGGGTACTTATAATGGTGTTCGTCCTGTTTCATTGATGCATGGAACATATTCTACTTGCATGGTTTCAGGAATTATACAACACGAATTAACTCATGTCTTAGGTATGAGATACATAAAAATATAATATATTACCTTACTTTTTTTCTTATAAAAAGGTTTTTATCATGAACAATCACGGCCTGATCGAGATTCATACGTTTCTATTCAATGGGCTAATATTGATCCAAGTAAGTCTTTTGTGTTGTTTTTCAAAATAAAAAAAATCAACTTTCTTTCTCAATTGTAGGTCAGGCATTCAATTTTGATATGTACAATGATACAAATGTTGATACTCAAATGACATCATATGATTATGGATCAGTTATGCATTATGAACGAACTGCATTCGCTATTAATAGTAGTGGACCAACTATTATACCAACACAAAATACTAGTGCATTTATTGGACAACGAATTCAGTTAAGTTCAATAGATATTCTAGAAATCCAACGTTACTATGGCTGTGTTCAACTGCCAACTAATTCAAGTACAAACACATCAACTGCCACAACACCAAGTAAGTGCATTATATTGTTTTCTTTTTTATCTTTAACTGTATCAGCATGGTTTTTAGTTTCGACGACTAGTAAGTGAATTCTACGATAAAAATATAATTTAACTAATATAAAACTTCTTCAAAATTTGTCAACTATAACAATGTCAGTCGTAAACAATTCGAACTCGAGTAAGTATCTCAGTCGTTTTAAAATACTTATGAATACAGATAGTATTTTATTCACATTTTCTTTCAATTATTTCAGCTTCATCTTCTTCAACAACCAATGTTACAACAGGTATGTTGATTAATTAGTTTAGAAGAAATTATATTTACGTAAAATAATTTAGTTTCATCAATCACGTCTGTATCTTGCATGCCAAATAACTTAACAGGTAAGATGAATTTTTTTCTATAACAAAAATAGATATTTCATTTCTACTTGATGATGTTTTAGTTCTTTCCACTCTCTTAGAACGGCTGGAACATGGTCGACAGGAAATTCTAGCATTGTTACGTCCGCTAACGAACAAACTACGGCTTCTACTCTCGTAGTACTTCATGAAAAACCTAATGTGATCTTATCGATTTCTTTTAGGATGCAAAAACGATAGGTATAATTGTTGGTGTTGTTCTATCCGTGTTGCTCATCTTAGGAATCGCTGCCGGATCATTTGTTCTTATCCGACAAAAGTGCATAAAGTAAAATTCTTTTTCTCTGCAAGCATTAAGCCCAGATTTCTGTCTTTTTTTATCGACAGGAAAGCATCACCGAATAGCAAAGTTACGTCGCATACGACGAAATCAGATACTATAAATAAACAGACAACGTTCAATCAGCAAGCTAGAACTTCTGAACAATCAGGGTCACCTCCGCAATCACTACGACCACTTCGTCAAACTATTCGGACAAATCATGCATTCGATCTACAAACTGCCGCTCGATTACATAATCCTTAACTCTTTTCTCTGATTCAATTATTCAACAAAATTCATTTTGTCCGTTCGTTCCCGTTCTATAAGAACTAATTATTGTAGAATTTCAAATAAATAGAATTCTACTTTGAATCTATCCATTGTCAAAAAAGATCTGCATCATTAAAGTCAACCTATCATCTTCTACTGTGATATAGAATATTTTGAATAACTCGATGTTGTACTTAACACATTCAACGTGATTTGATTTTATTAGAGAGTAGTTCTATCGATTCATTTTCGTGTGCATTCGTCTTTCAGCAAATGCACTTCTCGGCCTTTTCACTCTGTGTTGGCTTGTCGTTTTCTCTTTCCTATTTTTAATATCACGTGAAGTGAAGTGATCATTTTGCACTTTCGTGAAAGTCTTGTGCGATTTTTACTGTTTGGCATGTCATTTGAGAAGCTGAAATCTGATTCGAAATAAAAATCAACAAGCCATTCGAAGAGCAAACTCGCTGATCACAAGCTCCAAGAAAAGGAGGATCTGTGCACATTGTTCGAAGGTACTGTGCTGACTACTATGAAAAAATCAGGTAACGATAACCATGAGAAATAAGTCATGCAACAGCAAAGAAAATAAAAACTTTCTGTTCTGATTATGACAATTTTTTTTGTCTTGATTGTCTTAATGAAAAGCATCATGCTATGTAATAAATGATTCCAACAATAGTAATCGCAGAACAGATGACACATTATGTATGATCTTCTGGCTAACAACAAAAAGGAACAAAAGGTGTTTTTCTATTAAGTTTCTTGTTAAAATAAAGTAGGACCCGCCCTTGGGACCCATCATGGCGAATGTGTTAACAAAAATGACAAAAAGTACATTTATACTTCATTTTCTCTCGTCGAAGGTAAGCAACTAAGAGTCAACGGTGTTTTCCTATACGAATTTCAGCACAAATTTGCAACGTTTTTACATGATTCTATCGTGCCATAGAGTGCTCTTTATCAATCAAGTAATCGCCATACTGGATGAGTTCAATTGAGAGATCGAAAATGCAACTTTCCAGATCAGGTGTGGATGTGATTCTTCTCTTTACCCAGAGCAATCCTCACACCCTTCTTTTGGCTATTCAATCATGTTAACAATCATCGAATTGACTGAGGGATGTTCTCAGTGTGTCATAGTAAATGTTGCGAAGAGTTATTCAAAGAAATGAAGTTTGTTCAAACATTGTGTATGTCTAGTGTTAAGACAATACTGTTGGGATCCGCACCAATCCCAGATGTACAATAAGCGCCATATTACTTCCAGTCACGATACTAGTAAGAGAGCAAATGGATATGATCAGCTGACGTTTTAAACGAACTCAGCTAATCTATGTGAAGGCATATCTAGAGCGACTCTGTTCGATTTCATACTATGTGTAAACAGCATCAAAATTATATTGTCAAAATAGTTTTAAAAAAAAGTATAAACATATTCTTAATTGATCATAATTTAATCAAAAGTCAATTGTAAACGAATCTATAGGTGGTTAGTATGACAAAAGATCTAGTATTCTATGTGAAAAAGATTTTTAGTAAACAATCATTTATCTTTATCTATTTTTTTATGTCTAGATTATCTTAATTGAAATAGAGAGTATTTCCTTTGAACGAGGTAAAATAAGTAAAAAGTACCTTGAAAACGACTAAAATATATAAATTTTGGAAGATTGTACATGTTCTAAATGTCATTATTGCGTTGAACCATTTATAAAAATATCGTTTTCATAAGAATATTCAATGAAGATATCATTTTTACGAATCTTCTGTCTTTCTTTTTTATGTTGAATTGAATAGATGAGTTTATGTACAAGATTTTATTTCTTTTATTATTTCAAATATAAAAAATAGTTGATTATTTTCGATATTTCTCTTTCAAAAAGTGAACAAGTATAATCAATACTTTTGAATATCTTCTTAATTGTTTTACAAGTAACACTAAAACTATTTGTTCTCTTCAACAATTTGATCAACATCATCTAATATAAGTTTCAATTCCGTTTGTTCAACAACTGTATGAACACTATTGACATGTTTCATACTTTTTTGACCGTCATAAGATAAAAACCAGCCAGCAATAAACCAAAGAGTTAATTTAAGAAATCTTTTAATAGCTTCATAATACCCGTATCTGTATAGAAGATATATCCATATTACTTCGGCATATTTATTTTGAATTTCTAATATATTAATTGGATTTGTTAAATCTTTCAGCATATTTGGAGAGTATAAATAAGTATATTGCGAAACAGCAAATAATGAAATACTCAATTTAATTAAAACAACATCTGAATCAATAAATTTATCTGCCCAATGATGAATATTAATTGTATTTTTTCCAAATCTTAGATTGATAGTATTTTCGAAAGCATCAACAAAAAGTAAATGACAATAACTCAAAACGAATGAACCAGTCAAACAAGTGATATTATTAGCAGCACTATGCAGTATTATTGAACGATCATCATTTAAATGAAGATATGTTCTCACTGTTTCATATACAGATACTAAGAATTCATTCATAAGTGTTTCATCAACTATATTAGTTGATTTTGAATCATAATATGTATTAAATAAAAGTTGACCTGTTGAAAAAAGATTTGATTCGTTACATACATTACATAAATTGAAGATAAGTCTCCATTGATTTTGAGTTAATAATGATTTATCTGATTGTAAAAGATTTAATGATGGTACCTAATAAATAAATAAGAAAACTATTTCACAGAATTTTTCAACTATGTTTAAATGGAAATCTGAGAAAACTAAAGAATTTTTCAAGATTTTTATCTTCATCTAGATATGATTTATAATCTTACTAAATAAAACCGATTTAACTTTCAGAATTGATAAAAGATCTCCGATTCTTATTAGATTTTTCTTTATTATTAATTTCAAACAAATTTGACAATTAATGTCGAAGAATGTAAAAAAAAAAACAAATCAAATTAATGGTTATTAATATACTCTAAAGATTGATATCTTTTTGAGTCCGCTCATATATTTTAATAATTTCATTTGTGATTTTTCACGAAAAGTATTTTTGTTCAATAGAAATAGTTTAATTGAAGAACGATTATTATTTAACTTGTGTGAAATCTTTCTTAACAATGAGATTAACATTAAAGATATGAAAATGAATTTCTTATAAGAAATTTTAGTAATCTCACAATTTCTGATTGTTGATATTGTACTTGAACATTAACTAGAGACTTCTTTTTTGATTTTATTGATATTGATGCTCGAAATTTGTCAGCATTCATTCCACATTTAAAACATTCGTTAAGCGACATGATGGACATATATAACGATTAGTTATATTTATTTCACATTGACCACTAAAATCACATTGGAATTTTGTCTTAGTTAATTTATATAAAAATTAAATAGAAATAGAAAATACAACTAACTTTTGAAGAATTTGCATGTCGTCTGAAAAAAATTTGACATGCATAACATGAAATAACACCATAATGAGAATATTCAGCTGAAGCTCCACATATTCGACATTGATTTGAAAGAACTTTTTCTTCTCGATTTTTCATCGATATTATTGAATCTCTTCATGCATCATCGCATGAAGAGATTTCCATAGAAATTTTACGTTCATTTTGAATTAAACTATATCAATAACAAATAAATAAATATGATTAACTAAAGAAAAAAACAACGAGTCTTATATATATATATATTTTGGTAAATCGTCAGAACAATATAACTAACACTTTTATTATCAGATGCTCAAGTCACTTATGCACTTCAACTATACTTTTCTGCTTACAACTTTTATTGCTTCATTCAAATAACAAAACGATTCTAAATTTTTTTTTCAATCGAATGAAATAACTCTTTTTGCTCGGAGATAGTTATAAACTTGACTTGTAAATCGAGAACATGTCATTTTATGAGCAATCTGTGTACATTGATGTATCAAAATACTACTAGTTCCGGAAACAGTATTGATTAAAGAAAAGCAGGTAGACATCGGTTTATTGTAATTAAGTTAATTTTGCCATACTCAATTATAATATACGGGAGTGTTCAGAAAATCTTCATAGGCAAAAAATAAAAATAGATATCACTGGTGAAAAGTGCATCTGCTATTAATTGCACGAAAGAAACGTCTTTTGAGCCCACTGACAACATACCATATATATATATTCTCCCGACTGAATGGAGAATCATATGAAATAAAATAAGGTTGTATTTGTGTGTGTGCTTGCGCCAGGATCAAAGATCAAAAAAACATCGCCTTAAAAAATTCAATGGTAGACATTTTGAATGTGTGGCTTTCCTTCAATCATGTTTTTCAGGTTGGAAACTCACCCAATCAGACGTTTCCAATATGGGGCTTTCAACCAATCATGTTTTTCACCTTGGAATTTCAATCAATCAGATGTTTTCACTCGCCAGCTCTTGTCCAATGAGATTTTTATCAAGCTGAGAGTTCAGTCTGTGAAATGTTTTTGCTATTCCGTTTTTGTTCAATCAGGTTTTTTCAGTCGGGAAGTTGAATCAATCAGATGTGGTTGTTGTGCGGCTGTCCTGCAATCAAATGTTTCAAGACTGGTAGTTCCATAATGAAATATTAAGTTTGTCTGGTAACAGTCCAAAAGTTTCTCTTCTCCTTTTTTCAACTGAATCGATGCCTTGTATAATATCGACATTTCAAAAAGGTCGGGAAATCAAAGCTGTAAGGAATAGATCACAAGAAAATATGGTCTTTAGAATTTTCCATTTAGGATTCTTTTGTTCGAAAGCCAACAATGTTTCGCAATGAACTAAACGTGAATCAACTCGAATGCAAAGAAAAGAGAATGACTTACTAGGAAAATAAGTGTAAACATGAGAGCAGCTAGCCGTGAGTGGTGCTCCGAAGGGATACCAACGAACGACTAGCTGATAATTTGATAGGTTCACCGAAGGCATGCTTTAGGCCGGTAGAATTCATATAAAACTGCTCATCGATCGAGACCCATTGGTTGAAAGTGTCCGAAAGCTGCAAAAAATTGAGTGTAGTAATATGAGTTTTCATCCTCAATAAACACACAGCAATAAGGAGTTATGAACCAAGAATAGCGATGATGACAGACAAGAAGTTGAGTTTGTAGCTTCAGACGGAAGATCTTGCAGGAAAATGTGAATGAAATGTAAGTTGTTGTTGTGTGCAATGATTAGGAACATTAACGATTTCTCAAAAACCTGCAACCAAAGGTCCACAAGAGAATGAAGCACCATTTTAAATTATACTTGTATCATATACGAAATCGAGCAGTCACCAGTGGCGGTCCGTATGGACGCCGACGACTGACTGCGAGCTGTCTCCTACGATTCACTTTGAAAAATCTCAAGAGAAAATTGAAAAGCCGGATCTTTTTACACAACGGTCGTCACCAACAATAGTATACAGGTTTTTTGTATATGCATGCGTATTCGCCAATAGTTTTCAAAAAAGAATTCAGGAGGTAATGATAGATAATGATTAGACTGAATTCAGTCCAAGATCAAGCGAGTCATAACGATGACCGTTACTTGTATATAAATATATATACATATTAGTCTACAAGCTGATGCTAATGACTCATTTCGTCATTTTTAAAATGAATCTGCTGATACACTTGTCTCGGGTCATTGAAAAATTGTTTCAGTTAAAAAAGATGATCCGACAGAAACGTAGGATATCCTACATCAGAATTCGAGTATTTCCCAGCGCGATTCGCACTGAAGCCGGCTTCAACTAGACCAATGCTGGTGCCAAGTAGGTCTCATTGAGATCTATCGATTCCACTACTTTTCGCCCGAAAGAAAACCTTTCATCGCAACAAACATCTCATTTTACGGCAAAAAAACAAATGAAACAATCCAAAAAAAAAACAGAATCAACCATCGCGATTCGCTCGCCTGCTGGTTCCAACTAAACCAGTGATGGTTCTATGTAGATCTCGACGAGAGCTATCGAATGGACACTTTTTGAGCTCAATTCGATGCGCATATCACTTAGACACGAGCCAACACCGGCTCTAATTGCAGGATTTTTTCCGTAGAACTTGCCACGATTTGCTCAACAGATAGTTACAACAAAGTAAATGACGGTTCCATTATAGGCATGCACCAAAACCAAAACTCTTGGTTTTCATATAGTTTTGATAGTCTTGGTATTGATTTGGATACAGTTTTGATATTGATAGTATTGATTTTGATCAAGTTTTGATTTTGAGATATTATTGAAAAACAATTAGTTTAATGCAATAAATCTATGATGCCTCCCTATAAACTTTCGTATTTGCTAACTTGAAATAGGCTTCTAATATAATGTTACGTATCAGTGAAAATCTTATCTTTTTCTATTAATTGTACGCTTATAATGAGCAAAATATCGTTTCGAAAACTGTCGACATTTTAATCTTAAAAGCACAGTCTGAATAATATATCTCTGACAAATCAAGTAAGAACTTTTTATGGTACTACCATGCACAGTAGGGTGCGGGATGTGGGTGTGCCTATGGGTGTTAGTTTTGGTGTTGCTGTTATTATTCTTTCTCACCCACACTCCACTATATTCATACCTTCATTTACCAAAGAGTAAAACCAGTCAAACTTACCAGATCGAAATCAGTTAATGCACCAAAATAGTTTATTGACATACACCCCTGTGCAAAAATCTTCTCTCCGTCATCATTTTTTGTGTGCTCAAAAAATGAGCACACTATAGAATCGGCCAGTGTATCTGTCCGTTCGGCTGTTTACATGATAACTCTTCAAGGCGTAATCCGAATGTGATGAAATTTTCCACATAGAATTGTCTCATCAATATCTTGGTCGAATTCAAAGATGAGAATGATTCGTCAAGGAATTGCTGAGTTATAGCAAACGATGTCATGTCATTATTTCCTGTGCTTTCCTATGCGAACATTGACCTATTCCGATTTTCGTAAAAACCTTTTTCTCGCATAGTCAAAAAAGCCCCAACTATTATATATCATCCGACGGAGAATTTCACGGGCTACAAAATGGTATATAAAACATTAAGAAACAAGAAGACAGTCATCTATTGTTTTTAGATACTTTGATTAAAATCAATCTATCGTCATTTATTTTTACTTTTTGAAATACACATAACACTCGGATTTAAATCCAAAGTTTCTACATTTTTGGTATATTGAGCTTGTTTGTTCTCAAGTCAATGCTAATAATAAGGATGACCTTATTACTTAATTTTAGTATCACGGTATCATTGATTATGATTTGCTTCGAAAAGCACTATACGTCTTTCAATATAATCAACCATCATTACAAACCACATAGTGACAAAATGCTTCATGACTGAGTTATTTCTTTTTTCGATTTTTTCTGAGTGCTATACTTGTTTTAGTTCCCTGGACAAGCACCCATTGCACAGGATTCCGATCCAGATTTTGTCAGAATTCGATAGAATCTGACAGGATCCCATGAAATTTTGCACGGATTCGGTCAGACCCGAGATCGAAATCTGGGTCGTGGGATTCTGACAAAAATCCGACAGGATGTGGACGCATTTATTTGAATCCGACGGGATCCGACCGAGCGAGAATCACCTAGGTTTATCTTAATTTATAGGATCGAGTATACTGCCTCATAGGTTGAGGTTTAAGTCACTGTCAGAGAGCGTCTAATCAGTTCGAACCAGCAAAAAAATTCAGAAAATATTGAAAAAAAAGAATAACTCAGTCATGGAACATTTTGTCAATTATGTCATTTGTAAGGTGGTTGATGATACTGAAGGATGTATGGTGCTTTTCGCAGTAAATCATAATCAATGATACATGATACTAAAATCAAGTAATAAGATCACCCTTATAATTAACATTGACTTGAGAACAAATAAGCTCAATATATAAAAAAATGATGGAAGAGAGAGAGAAAGACTTTTGCCCATGGATGTATGTGGAGGTTCGACCACGAATCTAAAGGCATAAATGTCAACTGAACGAAATTTAGCTATAAAACTGCAAACTACGCTAGAAACAATCATTTCAACGCCTTTCAATCAGTATCGTTTATTACAACTATTGAACTTTTATATTCTCTGAAATTTATTAAAAACAGTACATATGTAACATTTCCCGATGGCCATTCTACAGAATATGGCTAATTAGAATAAGATATATTAAGTCCCAAACGTTTATAATTCAAGAGCATACGCTGTCAATTTTGAATCTAAAGGAAAGCAATCCATAGAAAGCTAAATCAATTCAAATCCTTTTTTTTTAATAACTTGAAAAAAATTTCGATTTCAAAAAGGATCAAATTGCCACTTCTATACAATAACACTACTAAACTATTTTTGACGAAATTTCTAATAGTCATGTAGTAAATCTGTATATAATGACATCTATTGATAATTTCTTTATTTGAATTGAATATATTATTAGAATTAATTCTAAAAACAATTTTTATTGAAAAAATCTTTTTCAAACGAAATTAAAAAGCAGAATCTATTAAATATTTCCAATAGCAAATTTCAATTTAGCAATACATTTATTTCAATGAGTCATATTGAACTTGTCACTCACTTGTCTTGTACGTCATAGTAAGATAAAATAAATATAATTATTTTTTTTATCTGTTTCTTTCTTTATTTGAAGAAAAAAAATCAATCAACCAAAACATAGCAGTGCATATTATTGATAAACTTTTTAACTTTATTATATATGAATCCAAAGGATGAACTGTCTGTATTCTAAATTTTGTTTTGTTTTCTTTTTTAGGTTTGATTGAATTATGAGTGATTACATTCCACAAATATCACATAAATTAGAATATCTTCCAAATGAAATTTTACTTGAAATATTTGATTATATATAATTAAATGATTTAATAACGTGCTTTTTATAATTTAAATAATCGTCTAAATTCTATTTTATTTTCATCAAATATTCATTTACATATTCTTTATCTCGAATGATATAAATGAAAATAGTATTAATCAAAAAATATTATTAGATTTTATTAATAGACAAAATTTTATTGCAAAACTTCGCCTTTCAAATAATAATAAATTACCAGAACATGAATTTTTATAAAATTTTCATATATTCGATCATTAATTTTGGATACTCCTACAACTAAACATATAGAAATGATTTCACCAGAAATATTACCTCGTTTAGAATATCTTCGTGTTGGTTATACACATCAGCTAAAACTGAATTAAGTAAACTTCATCAATTTATTTTTTTGAAATGCATTTCCATTATTAAAAAAATGTTCATTAAGTATATATTCAAATAATCCACGTTTAGTTATTGAACGAGTATTATATGCATTAATGGAATTAATTTCTTAATTAGCCATTAACATATTTAATACTTGCAGATCATATTATTCAACAACATATAAATTTAAAATATTTAAAATTAAATTTATATGGTTATTGGACATTAGAAAAATTAGATTCATTTTTTGCTTACATTCCAAATATTAAAATTTTTAATCTTTCATCATCGTATTTTGATACATATATGATATATTTTTTTCATGTTGTTTACCAGATCTTTCTTATTTTGATTGTGAATTAATTTTTGAAAATCGAAAAATTATTAATTTAGAAGAAATTTATTCTCTACATTCCTGTTTTAATCGTATTAAATATGAAATATATATAGAAAATGATTTATTTATAAGAGTCTTTACTAATCAATAAAATAGTTAAAATTTTTTTTTTTTTGTTTTATTATTAAACAAAAAAAAAAGAACGAGATGTAAAATAGAATTACTACTTATTTTTTCTTCGTTTGTGTACGCAAGGACTAGTTGTAAGCGCAATAGCTAGACTACAGCGAAAGTTAGCGTTCTGAAGTTTCGGACGCTTTTTTATTTGATACTATAAAAGTCAAAATTATTCCGAAACTCATCATCTCCTTAAAATATCCAAAAAAAAATGCATAAGAATGATGTTCTATTTTGATATGTACTTTAGACGTACGATTCGGCTGATTATTGTCTCATAATCCAATGTTGTTGAGTAAACAAAACCACGAGTCTATTTAATTAAATTATATAGAATTCTGTTGATTTTTATCGAAATTTCATGCATTTTTTGAATATTTTACGCAGATGATGAGTTATAAAATCATTTTTTGTCTTACACAGCTACATCTTTTTAATTCTGACGCAGACATTAATCAAAATTCTAGATGTGTATGTTCACAAAGATAGGTATTCGTTGATTCAGAGTTTTAAATCATCCCTCAGGAAGAGAAAATCTCGATGGTGGCGATTTTCTCTATCACTAAAATTGTCTTTCAATGTGATACACGACGTTTTCATGAAATTTTTTACTAATCTTATTTAATTTTCGTCTATTTTAATGATTCTGTTCTCTAAAATTAAGCTTATTGGAAGAAAAAACTCGAAGATTGACTTTGGACATAAAAACCTATTTTAAGAAAAATACAATTTTTTTTTCTCGATCATCCGACATCAATAGGAAATATAGTTATACATGTATTATATATCAATCGCTAGAATAGAAATCTTTAGTTTTTTGATTCGTGATAGAAAATTTCTGTAGTGTTTGAATCGATTTCCTTTTCGTATCTTTTCAATAATGTGAATATAACTACATAAAATAAATCTTAATAAAATCGATATTTTATATTAATAGAAAAATTTACTTGAAAAAAGATTTGTTTTTAATATTCTGTTATCGGAGAAATTGAATTGAAATTAAGTTAATTTTTATATTGTTAAATATTAATTATAGATTTCTCGAAAATTTATTAATTCTTAATTGAAATTTTACAATTTATGATATAGATAAGAATTAGCTTTTTGTTTTCTAGAATTTAACTTTATATTTAAATACAATAATGTAATATGGAAGCAATAATCTAAACCGGAAAGTCTCTGAATTTTTTCTTTAACTTCGAGTCAACTTCTTGTTATTTTCGCTGGATTAATAACTCGAAGTTATCGAAAAAATCTGAAAGGCTGATTTTATATTCCATTGATTTCTAATGTCATCCGAATGGATATGATGATTTTTGTTTTGCGACGAAATTCGTTTATTTCCTGAAGCCAATGAAGATCATTTAATAAAAAATCAATTAGAATGCAATGATCAACTATGAAAAATTTTAAAAGCATCTTGTTTGATATTTCTTTTTTTTTTGTTTCTAGATTTGTCTTCTATAATCGATCATATTTAATAATCGTTATTTTATATAATTGGATAATTTATTTATCAAGTAAGAAGAATTTTCTTTCCTTCATTCGATGTGTTGTTAAGTTTTAGCATCAAGATCATGAGGGTTATTAAGTGTATAATAAATCTACAAAAAAAGATAATCTTTGTCCTTTCGTTCTTGTTACAGTATAATGTAAATGAGGGTAGTTATCGAGTAAATATCTGCTATAATGACTTTATACTTTAAATAGAACCTTGTTCTTATTAGAATTTTTTGTATTAAAAATCAGGCTTTAATACGATTGTTTGTCTTTAATATGATCGATTCGATCAGTGTCTTATGAGATAAACAGTCTAATCCGTCATCTCGTGAGTGTAAAAGATACTTTAATAAACAATTAAGTTAGAATGAACTGTTCGATTGTAAATATTGACTGTCTCTGTGAAGCTTTCGATAAAAAAAAATATTATCTATGATTAACATAGCGTTTCAGCATTCGAAAATAAACTACTACATGAGTACTATTAGTCATACTTCTAGTTTATTCGAATTAAACACTTTTCACTAATAGCTCACGAGTGAATCTCTTCAAATATCAAATGACTTTTTGACTAAAACGATGTTCATTTGATGAGTAATAAAAAAGTCTAAAATGGTTTGATTTTTCGAGTCTTCGCTCTTGAGAAATTCATTAGGCAACTATTATTTCCTTTCTGGAGATGTATATATATGAACAAAATTTACTTTTACATATGACCACAGATTTTTGTTGAAAAACCTAATAACATTTTAATGTCTCAAATACGAAAGATCGAAAAACTTAGCATTCATCAAATGAACATCGTTTCGCTTGAAAAGTGATTTTATATCTAAAGAAGTTCTTTCATTAGTAGAGCCTATCGGGTTGGTTCCGGATCTGAAAACTTTGGACGTGACGAGTTCTAGCTTATAAGTTTCTCAGACGAGTCGTATGAGAAATGTGTACTGAATACAGAAATCGGAAAAAAGTATCTCGTATCTTTGGGAATGGCATTGAAGTACGTGGGTTTGGGTCTGAAAATTTTTGACTCGAAGGGTTCTACTTGATTGTTTTTGGTATATTTAATCTCTTCGATGTATGAAGAAACAATGATTAATGCATTTCTTTCATTCGAAATGATTTTCTCAAATTTTTAATCAATAATCTTTTTTTTTTTTTGTAGATATGTCAACTCGATTAGAATCTTTACCAAATGAATTATTAATTGATATTTTCATATATTTTGATATTTTAAATTTATATAATAGTTTTTGGGGATTAAATCGACGATTTAATAAACTTGTTTGTTCATTAAAAAATATTTCTTTAATTATTAAAGAAAATAATTTTTTATCAATTGAATTATTTGCTCATCAAATAATTCGATTAAAAATTGAAACTTCACAATCAATTGATTTAAGTCAATTTATTAATTTAAATTCATTAGAATTATGTCGAGCAAATCAAAATCAATTAGAACAAATTCGATCTGATATAATGCCGAATTTGATTTATCTTACAATATCAACTCCATTTCATATATCATTACCATTAGAATTAATAAAAGAAATATTTTCAAATGGTTTTCGTTTTCTTCATTATGCATATTTAAGTCGTTTAGATACATTTGAAAATTTTTCAAAATTTCAATCATTTTCTCTTCGTACATTATATATAACTTGTACAAATTCAAATATTATTCCTTTAATTCTTCAAGCATGTCCAAATCTTATTTCTTTTCATATAAAATTTTTTGGTCAAAATCGTCATATTCTTCCACCTTCATCATCAACATATAATCATTTATTAGAAGAATTTTTTCTTGATGATCCTTATCATAAATTATCATTTGATACAATTCATATACTTTTTCGTTTTATACCAAATGTAAAATATTTATTTTTACAATTTTTATGTCGTGTACCATTTATAAATCTTATTGAAAGTATTTTAAATCGATTAGAACAATTAAATCGTTTTGAATGTGATATTTTAGAATCACCAAATAATCATATGGTTAATATTGAAATAATTCAACAAATGAATGAATGTTTTCAATATTTACAATGTAGTGAAAAAGATAATGGTTATCGAGTATTTTTTACAGAATGAATGAAAATAATGATTTTGTGTGTTTTTTTTTTAATAATAAATTTAATTCGTTTTTAATATTGTAGATTTATTTTTATTCATTTAATTTTATGATCATAGAAAAATCTGATATGCACGATCCATAGTCTATATAATTAGAAGAATAATCAGTCTTTCGGCTATCTTGAAGTATAGGATACTGTCCGAAGATAGTTTCGTTAGTCCAACATCTTCTCTTTGATTGTTATTAACTTCAATTATGAACAGAAGCCTAGTCTGATTCTAAGTTGTTGCTTGATCTCACTGTACACACTGACTAACTACATAGTAACCAAGAGGGTCGGTAGATGACATAGGGTTAATCCGAAGCAAACACCCGTTCATGACTTGCTCAACATAATTAGATGTGTAAAGATCAGTAGTTAACCCTTTAAGTACCAGCGTACTTTATAAAGTACGATTTTTTCGAGTTTCGCAATCTTTGAATAATTCGCGAATGCAAAGAAATATTGAGAAGCGATTTTCTCTATTAGATAGAGGAAACTTTGATGCATATATCTATATAAGAGTTATAATCCTAATGAAGTTACTCAAGTACTTAGGGCATACCAAAAGTAGTGGCGACCGCATCTCAATTTCTTATAGAAGGCTTGAGTAAATTTTCTTTTTTTATGAGGTGATAGAGAAAACGAAGCTCTATTTTTCTGTGCTATTTCATCTCTATTTAACTGGTATTATAATAATAGAATTTCGATAAGAACTGTTTTTGCGTAAAATTTCACTGACGCGTGAGGCAGATTAAATATTTGAATCGCTTAATACGTTGTATTAAAAAACAAAATATACCAAATGATGCAGCGTGAAAAGATCTACAATTTACATAAGATGACTTTTTTTATAGTTGTACTTTTTGTTTTCAAAATGAACAAAATTTTGAGTGATCAAGTTTCGAATGTGCGAAAACTATAGTTTTTGATGTAAGATGAGTTCATTTGTTCTTATTTCACCTTTTTGTCATTTGATATCCTTTGTTTAAAAAAAACAAAATATATCACAAGATGCGGCGTGAAAAGCTCTACAATTTACATAATAAAGTTTGTTTTAATTATGTCGCTTTGTCAAAAGAAAACAAAATTCTGTGTAACCAATCTTCGTTGCCCGAAAAAAATCATCCAAAGAGAAATTTCTTTTTACTTATTTCAAATACAAAATAAACTGTTCTTTATAAATTGTAGAGCTTTTCATGCTGCATCTTTTGGTATCTTTTGTTTTTAAGTATAACGTATTAAATGATTAGAAATTGGAATAGAAAGCGTACTAATGGATTAGTGAAGTTTTACGCAAAAACAGTTCTTATCGAAATTCTATTATTATAATACCAGTTAAATAGAGATGAAATAGCACAGAAAAATAGAGCTTCGTTTTCTCTATCACCTCATAAAAAAAGAAAATTTACTCAAGCCTTCTATAAGAAATTGAGATGCAGGCGCCACTACTTTTGGTATGCCCTAAGTAGTAAGCCTGATGGATTTTTGGAACACTACCACTATTCTAAAAAACTTGTTCGGCATTCCCATAGAAAGGGTAAAGGTATAGATCGAAAATGACTCGGAAGATTTTTTCAAAAGTTTTGATGAAAATATTCATAATACACACTGCTCATATTAAATATAAAGTCTCAAAGAAATTTCATCCATTGACTGAACCCATAGGCCTGAAAGGGTTAATATGCCTTCGATTTCTATTTATTTAACTACTATTTATGTTTAATTGTAGATTAGTTTTAATATAATAATGGAAAAATGTTTATCTCGATTTGAAGATTTACCAAATGAATTAATCATTGATATATGTAAATATTTGAATGCACGTGAAATTTTTCAATCATTTTATAATATTAATTATCGTTTTAAAATACTTGTTGAATCTTTTGATAATTTACAACTTACAATTTCATTATTTGATTCAAATGAAAAAAAGAATTATGAAAAATTTTTTCTTTATATTCAAATATTAATTATTGATCGTGGAATTAATATAGATCTTAAACATTTTAAAAAACTTCATCGTCTTATGTTACGTAATCCAAACGAAAAAATTTTTGAACAACTCAATCATTATTCATTACCTCATATTGAATATCTTTCAATAAATCATAAATTTTTAACATCAACAATTCAATCTTTAATTAATAATTTATATCAAAGAATATTTTCAAATGATTTTTCTAATTTAAAATTTTGTAATCTATCTGAAATGAAAATTGAAATACCAATAGAAAATTGGCAACAATCATTATCATTAAATATATTAAAAGTTGGAGAAATTAATATATTTATTTATAGAGCTATTCTTTCAACATGTCCAAATTTATATTTTTTTGAATTAAAAAAACTTCAACATAATGAATTATTATTAAATATAAAATTACATTTTAATTTAAAACAATTAATTATTAAAGATAAAGATCAATCATTTCCTTGGAATGATAGATTTATTAATGATTATCTTATATGTGTACCAAATCTTGAAAATTTAACAATTCATCGTATAAATTTCTTTAAAAAAATAGAACAATATTTAAATTATGATTGGTTTTCATCGAAAATTATTCATTGTTTATATTTACTTCGTCAATTTAATTTTATTCTACATATTTATGATAGTAAACGATTAACTAAATGTTATAGAGAAAATATTTTTTGTGCTTTAAAAGAACATTTTCTATATTTACATAAAGATCGATATCAAGTTCGAATTAAATTTGTACAAGAATAGTATTAAAAGTTTAGAATTGTTGTTGTTTTTTTTGTCTTTTGCTTTTAATTAATCGAAATTATTTGATTTTTTTTGTTTTAGTTAATTATTTAAAATTATGAATAATTATTTATCACAATTTGAATTATTACCAAATGAAATTTTAATTGAATTATTTCAATATTTCAATGCTCAAGATCTTTTTCAAGCATTTATTAATCTTAATATTCGTTTCAATAGATTAATTCAATCATTTCATAATTTAAAACTTGTTTTTTATTTGAAACAATCAAATAAAAATCTTATTACTAATAATCATATATTTTCTTTATATGTCTATACACTCATTGTTGATTCTAATGTTGATATTAATCTTAATCAATTTTCAAATATTCATCGTCTTAAATTTGAATGGTTTTCAACGAAATAACTTCAACAACTTTCTACTAATATATTTCCTTATTTAGAAGAACTCAATTTAATATACATAGGTAATTAAATTTATTAATGACTATTAAATTAGAAGTCAAAACATTCGAATGTTTTGTATTTTTAATTAACTCATACAAAGTGCAAGAGTTACAATTCTAAAGTATCTTTTCGTAGAAATTTCGAAGATCGATTTTTTTTTGAGAGGATCTGTTCTCTAAAGAATTATTTGAATTAAGCAAAAGTTTAGTTTTGCTCCGACCAGGTATTCTTCAGAAAAGGTATAAAACGATAAATTATCGATCATATAATCTTACACTAGATCAGCAAAAATGATTTTGTTTTATTTCCATCAAAGTTCGAAAATTTTTAAAATTCTTTCAAAAATGTTCAAGTTATTACGGCGAAAATAACTAAAAATCGTTTTGCCGACCTACTGTAAGATTATGTAATCGATAATCTATTGTTTCATATTTTTCTGAAGATGTATGACTGTACAATATAGAAAGCCTAGGGTTTCCAAAAACTGCACAAAATTCTTGAATGTAGCAAAAATGAAATATTGCTTTAGAGAATACTCAAAACTATCTATCTACAAAATAAAAAAACTAATAGGTTAGTAATGCCATTACTTTAAATTTAGCGTGAATGATTCAAAAAAATTCGAGTGTTTTGAGTTCATATGCTAATAGTAATTAGCTTAAAATGACCATATGTTTAATTCGATATGTCTTAAATGTTGGTTTATCATAAGTGTTTTATTGAAATATTTGAAGTACACGGTGCTAGACTAAATATGAATGAAATCAGTTTTTTAAAGTCCTGATCAAAAAAAAATATTCAGCTCTAATGTCGAATTTAATAGAAATATTGTCAGCATAGTACTTAAAATTATTCTTTACTGTTGTCTATACGGTTGAAGCAATCTTTCTAGATATGTGAGCTATTTAATCGGTTATATTCTCCTTATTGAAAACCTAATTAGACATAAACAAGATCAGTTGTTTTTCCAGTTGAATATCTGAATGTAGATTTAATCTCAATAGGATCGAGATCCAGTACTATTTTGTTTGTGTCTACAGTAGATTCTTTAGTTCTATATAATTCACCAGAATAGAAAGGATGTGTGAGCAGAGATGATCGTAGATGTTATAAAACATTTACAATTAAGAAGAATTCCCAACTAAGATTTGATTAAAGAAAAAATTCCAATTAGTCAGGTCGATGATTAATCGTCATTTTGAATTAATCAATAAAATAGAGTAGAAGTAAGCTAAAAGAAAGGATTTCAAGGTTGACTACGACAAATCTACAAACCACAAAATAAATGATTTAAAAACTGAAGAAATACTAAAAGAAGGCCAATGATTTTTACAAAAATATCCGAACTTGAACTTGACTAAACCTGAAAATGCTTTGATTACCGTCCTTATACATTACGGTACGTGTAGACAATTACCTGAATATTCGACATTTTCTAAACGGAGGAATCATAGTTCAGATTTGATGTATGTCTACTGCCCAGAATTCATTGTTTTGTTAGTGTATCATCTATAACTCAAAATCTTTGAAGATTTATTTTGATTTAGAAACATTATCAACAAATCATAAATCATTATCTTTACCTTCACTTCGTATTTTAAAAGTTCGATTTATTAATTTATCGATTTATCAAACAATATTATCTAGTTGTCCAAATTTATATTATTTTCAATTATCTATATTTACTTCTGAAGAATATTTATTAAATATTCAAACACATAATAAACTTAAAAAATTAATAATTCGAATTAGTGATGTTATATGGCCTTGGAATGATCATTTATTTAATTGTTATTTATCAAGTGTACCAAATCTTGAACAATTTAATATTCATCGTTTATTATATATATCAAGAATAACAGAATCTTTTATAAATTATAATTGGTTTGCATCAATAATTTCTATTCATTTACAAAAACTTCAACATTTTTATTTCTATTTACGTACTTCTCAATCGAAATATATAAATAAAATTAATACAGAAAAAATTCTTAATCAATTAAATGAAACTTTTCTTAAAGTACATAATAATGATCAATATCAATCTCGATTAATTATTGAATGTTCATAGAAATAATTAAAAGGTATTTTCTTTTTATTGTAAATTTAAAATTTTATTAATAAATCCTTAAAAAAGTTTTAATGGAATAATACTGGATTTTTCATCCTCCTCAAATCGACTTCAAACTTTGCGTGAACAAAATTCATTTAGCAAGCAGTAACTTTTCTACTATCGTTTATCCTGAGATATTTGAAATTCTCTCATATGTAAAAACAATTTTTTTTTTCCATATATTTATATCTCTAGAAAAAAAATAAAAATAAAAGTTGCACAATGAACTAATCTCATAAAGAACTTTGTTTGTGCAAAGTTTGAAGTCGAAAAACGCAGTAAAACTTCGATAAATCAAGAACGAAGGTCTCAAAAAAACATTCTAAACTTTTCAATAATTTACTGATGTTGGTCTTTCTATCCAATTTTCTTCCTTGTGTTAATAAAATATAAATTTGCATATATATGCAGTGCTTTTTGGAAGGATTTGATTATGCTTAATTTAATTTTCTTTTACACTAATGCAATCGTTACGAAGAATTCAAATAGTGATTTGAGTAAAAAAAATTCTCTTTCCAACAAAAATTTTTCAAGATAATAATAATTATTAGTTTCTTAAGAAAACTAAAATTTTCAGATAAATAGAATTCTATTTGAATCAATCAGTATGAGAGAGTAAATTATTATTTACAAAAATAATATCACTTTTAGTTCTTCATGACCTTTTTTTGACCGAGATATGTCAATCTTCATAAATAGCATTATAATAATTTTTTCTTGTAATTTCGTATAGAAATACTATTTCGATGTCGTCGATAAGATTGATTTAGCTTAGCTAAAGAAGGTCATAGAGAACTAAAAATTCTTGTAGAAAAATACAATTCCTAATTTGAATTGTTTTTTTTTTTAGATTAATTTCGTTTTTTTAATAAATGAATCAATCTAATATATTTCGTTTTGAACATTTACCAAATGAATTAATTATTTATTTATTTAAATATTTTCATGCTGAAGAACTCTTTCGATGTTTTTATAATTTAAATAATCGTTTTAATAAATTAATTAAATTGATTAATTATCTTTGTTTAATTATTTCACAAAATAATCAATATCAAATCAAAAATTTTCATATATTTTCTTCTTATTTATATACATTAATTATTAATGGTGAAATTAATATGAATTTTTGTTTATTTTCAAATATACATCGTCTTATTTTAATTAATCCGAATAATAATATATTAGAACAATTAAGGGTACCCCCCCCCCCCTCTTTTTTGACACTTGCTGGTTCTCGAAGATGGTACAACCGATCAAGCTGAAATTTTTAGCACAGATAGAGCACTAAAAATAAAGAGATATGTGTCCGAGGAAAAAAAATTTTAAATAACTTTTTATGGGATTTTCCGGAAAACTCTGGTTTTCCAGAGGTTCGCATCTTGACACATTACGACCCCCCTTAAAGTTTGTCCGATTGGGCTGAAATTTTGTTTATAGATGCCTAACACTATTCCCCAGAGGTAAATTTAAGGATTTCCAAAAATCTCACTTTTTTTTATAAGAAAAATACGCCCAGATTTGAGTTTGTGCTTCAGATCTTGACTTTCACGACCAGGTAACTCCGAGCAGGAACGTCAAAAATGAAAACGCTTGATTTTACCTCTGGAGAATACTTCGAAGTATTAGTCGTGAAATTTTCAGCTCGATCGGACAAACTAAAAAGGGGGTCGTAATGTGTCAAGATCTAGAAAATCGCTGTTTTACAGAACGCTAAATAAAAGAAATAAATTTACATACGATTACTATGAAAGAAAAAATTTTCTCGATCTAATAAATAGGTAAAAGTAAGACATTTCGAGTCGAATAATGTCTCTAGCTGCACATGGCACCTAAGGCTATCATATCTTGGGCTCAGCTCAAAATCGAGTTTTGGGTCAAAAAAGAGGGGGGGGGGTACCCTTAAGTAATAGTATTTTACATAATCTTGGATATTTGTCTATAAAAAATGTGAATTCAATATGTAGAATATCTTATTTTTGGTCATGAAGCAATTCGACGAATTGAAGGATGGCAACAATTAGTAATATTACGCGTTTTGAAAATTGGATATATTGAATTATTGATTTTTCAAACAATTCTATCGGTATGTCCGAATTTAAATTATTTTGATTTAGGTATTATTATTCAAAGTCAATTATTTTCAGAAATTAAATCACATATAAATTTAAAACAATTAATATTAAGAACTTCATATAATGATTTATCTAAAAATGAGAATATGTTGATTTTTAAGAATATATTTTTATGTTTACCTAATTTAGAAAAATTAAGTATTCATCGAAATGATAATATATCAATAATTAAAAAATATTCTTAAGAAAATCATAGAAAATTTTCAATATGTTCATAATAATCGATATCATGCTCGACTTATTATTGATTGATTATTATTATTCTTAAGAATATATTATCTGATATATTGATTTTTTTTTTTTTGTATAATAAATATTTTTTTCACAAAAATTTGACATATAGTAAAATCTTTGTATTATTTTAATAGAGTAATCTAGATGAAAACTGACATATGAACATTGTTTTATAGATACACATTTCAATATTAGTCAATTGAAATGTTTCCTTAAGTTAGAATCTTCAAATCCGAAAGCAAGTTAATGGATTCTAAATTGATAATTGAAATCATTATTCTAGATATTTGAAAGATGGTTTCTTCATTATGTTGTCGTTATCAATCATAAGAAATTTTTCTTTTGTTGTAACGTGAAATAACATTTGTTTTTTTGTTGTAGATCAAATTATATCAATGACTGACCATATATACAGTGATTGAAGGGTTTATTAAAGGAAGTATTAACAAAATTTTGAATACTTTTGATTTATTTCAATATTTTATTTATCAAAATGTTGCGGTTTATTTGAAATATTTCTTTTGTATTATTTCATATAAACAAGTTATTTAATTAATATTTACGAAAATCGATATTAAACTTAATCGATTATTTTTTGAGATGAGTAGCAATCAATCATGATTATTCACAAATATTGCCCTGAATCACTCGCCTGTTAGCATACTTACTACATTGTAGTATACACTTGCTGCTGCAATCTATTCTCGTGAAATATTTTCTGGAGACGTCACATACGTTAATAGTAAATGTGTGTGGTGACCTCAATGAGAGAGGAGAACTCTGTGTCAGTTGTTCGAAGCTATATTTTGCACTATTAGGGAGACAGACAATCGTTATTGAAGCCTATTAATTGTAGAAAAAATGTTGAGATTATCGAAACTGCTCCAGCAACACTCTACACAGATAACGGTACCCGGAAGACGGAGTATTTTCTTCTATCATTGCGTATGTTAGAAGTAGAAATTATTGGTTTATTCATTTCCATAGCAATGCTATGAATTTGTCCAAACTTTCATTGTTAACACCTTAGAGACAGGAAGCACACATATACGCTTTAGTTCTGATTCAACTAGTAACTGACTTTAGCATGCCTCTTATAATAGTATATCTTGAAAGTTTCTACTAGGGACTAGTCAATGAAGGGAAATCTCTACTACGAGACTAAAGTCGTTTTTCAGTAGGAGAAATGCTATTCATTCTGAGAGTTCATCCTTCTCTAGTCTCTGACAACACTATCTTTCTTTAGTTAGAACTATTCGTTCTATACTGTACCTCTTCTAGTGTATTCTGGTTGTACCCGACATCTGTATATATATATCTATCTATGTGCATTGTTTTAGAGTTTCAAAAACTTATGTTTTCTCACAATAAACCCATTGTCGAGGGATTAATAATGCGTTTATTAAATATTTGTTTCATGTATATAATCTTAAATCTATGTAAGAATGTCCGACATGTATTAATTTTTCGAGAACCGATCCGACGTCAAAAATAGTTGTTAACATTTCAAAACGAGTTTTGCTCTACGAAACATCTGTTTTAATGAATTCATACAAACTCTCATCTAGAATTGCTATTTGTCGAATATAAAGCTCGACATTATTGAACTTATCGTGACTCAACCTCTCTAACGTGAAATTTAGCAAATCTACTCGAATCAATGATTTCTTTACACTATTTTCATTTGATTTTCTTTATTTTCATATTAAAATAATTTGTAATGAAAACATATTTTAATAGATAAAGAAAAGTTTTAAGTCTGCTTATTATAGATCAAAATAAAAAGTGAATCTAATAATTTCAGTATTGTGAATTAATAAACATATTTCCTGATAACTTTATTCCTAGTTCTTTGTTTGTTTTTTTTTTGTAGATAAATATATTTAAAAATGAGTGACAATCAATCCCTATTGGAATCATTACCAAATGAAATTTTGATGGAAACTTTCGAATATCTTGATGCTCGAGATCTTTTTCGAGGTTTTTATAATCTTAATTCACGTTTTAATGAACTTCTTCAATCTCTTAATGAAATTTGTCTTATTCTTTCGATTCGTGATCGTGATGAAGTAATTGATAATGGAATATTTCTTCCTTATATTCGTACATTAATTGTTAAATATAAAACAGATGTTATACTTAATCATTTTACAACAATTCGTCGTCTTATTTTAATTTGTTTACCATATACAAGACCATATCAACTTGAAACTGCTATTCTTCCTCATTTAGAATATCTTTCAATTATTTTAAAATGTTCTTTCTCTGTTTTTTTAATAAATCGTTTACATGAACCAATATTTTCAAATAGTTTTCCATGTTTAAAATTTTGTTCTCTACCACAAACATCAACAATTCAAAAAACTGAACGTTGGACAAAATTATTATCATTACGTACTTTAAAAGTTGGACATATTGGTTTATTTACTTATATTGGTATTTTATCAACATGTCCAAATTTAAATTTTTTTTATTTTCTCGAAGAAAAAGTTTTACAAACATTAACTGTTCTACCACAATATGTAAATCATGAAAATCTTAAACGATTAGTTATTAAAGATAAATATATAGGACCTATTTCACATGTTGGAATATTAAATGAATATTTATTATGTGTACCTAATCTTGAATATCTTAGTATTCATGTAACAACATATCATATGAGAAATTTACAATATCTTTTTGAATTTGATTGGCTTTCATCAATTATTTCTATACATTTACCATTACTTTGTCAATTTAATTTTTATTTACCTATTTTTCGAACTAAACGAATTAATAAATTCTTTGATGAAAATACATTTAATAAACTACAACAACGTTTTAAAATAATGCATAAAAAACAATATCAATCTCAACTTATTATAAATCGAAAAAATTTTCAATATTCTCAATGTTATGAATCGACTGATTCATCTGACTCGTCTGATGATCAGTTATCTTGTCTAGTCGAAGACTAAAACGATTCGTTTATACATATTTACAATTAACTTATGCAAAAAATATTAATGTTATTTTGTAGATAAAATAAATCATGATTTATTTAAATTAGAATAACTACTGGATGATATTATGATAGATTTTAATAATTATCGAAAATGATGTTTTTTTGAATATTTTATATTCTCAATGATTAGTGTAATATCCACAAAAAGAAAACGAAACACTGATATTCTTACTATTCATTAGCCATCTATCAATATTATTTTTGTTTACTCATTTTCCTGACTATTGTATGGTACAAAATTTTCTCCAATGACATTTTTTATTCAAAATCTTATATAAAAATTCAATATTGGACCACAAATGCCATCAACTATTGATTGAAATCTATTTTCATATTTTAAAACTAAAATTACAATGAAACTGGCTTTTTTTTTTATTTATAAAATGTATTGATTTATTGGGAAAAAACAATTATAAATAAAATTTTGAATATTTCTCTTTTCCTTGCAGATAATTTATTTATATATAAATTAGGATCATCATTTTATTGAATTCTTATTTTGATATAGTAGCCATAAATATTACGCATATGTATTTCGTTGGATTTTTATCAAATCTATTCAATTATCTTTATTGAATATTGGATTCATCTGTTGACTTCGAATACAAAAAGTTTGAGATTTTAAAGAACAAAAAATATTTTTTCTCAAAAGTAGATTATAAATAGAATAATATAAAATGTCAAATATCACTAAACACAGATGGAATAGTACAACAACTTGTTAGTTCAATGTTGGTATGAATTCGGTACCGAACGAGAAAAATTCAGACTGATAGGATTGGTTCGTATTTTTTCTTTTTTTGGAAGCGAATCGATCCTATCTTTGGTTTACAATCTCATTTCAATAGAAAAAACAGAATTACATTTGAATGAATATGTATTTCAATAAGATTGAATTTAAATTTTTATGTAAATGTATTTTTATTTTATAGATTATTATATCGAAAATATGAGTGATATAAATTCTCTATTAGAAGATTTACCCAATGAAATTCTCATGAATATATTTCAATATTTTGATGCTCGAGATCTATTTCGAACATTTTATAATCTTAATTTTCGTTTTAATAAATTACTTCAATCACTCAATTATCTCTCACTTACAATTTTTAAATTTGATTCTAATGAAATAAATGATTATGATATTTTTACTCCTTATATCTATACTCTAGTAATAGATTATGCAGTTGATATTGATTTAAATCATTTTATAAATCTTCATCGTCTTACTTTATTATCTCCAACATCTAATCAATTAAAACAAATTGTATTTAATAATTTATCTTGTTTAGAACATCTTTCAATTGGATATGAACATTTTCTTTTTTCTTATTATATTCCTGAATTATGTCAAAAAATTTTTTCTAATGGTTTTCCTTGTTTAAAATCTTGTTCAATATTTGAACCACGAATACTTGAAATAATACCATATTTTACACAAACAACACAATTATGTATTTTAAAAATGGATAATATTGATTTATTAGCATATAAACATATATTAACATTATGTCCTAATTTATATTTATTTCAATTTACAATGTTAAATCAACATGAAGAAATAAATTATATTGAACCACATTTAAAACTTAAAAAATTAATTATTAAATTTCAAAGTTTAATTAAATCAATTTCTGATTGTGCTATGAATCATTATTTATCATGTGTTCCTAATTTAGAACAATTTTATGTTTATGAAATAAATTTTGATATAAATATTCAAGAATATTTAGATTATAATTGGTTTGTTTTATTAATTGATAAACAATTACCATTACTTTATCAATTTAAATATTATCTTTATGCTTATGGTGTTAAACAGAATAATGAAAATATTATTAATCGTATTCAAACAAATTTTAAACAAATACATAATAAAAAATATCAATCTCGACTTATTCTTAAATTATTATATTCATCATTGTCAGATTGATATAAAGTTTTCTTCTTTAGGGAATATAATACAATTAGTTATGCGTTCTGAAATTTTGTAGTCTATGATTAATAAAACAGTTTTAATCGAGCAGATTTATATTTGCTGGTTTTTTTTTTTACTTTTAGATTATTGATCTGAATTCGAATCAATGATAAATTATATTTTAGTTGGATTAAATAACATATAATTAAATTGTTCGTAATCATCAATCAATCAATCTCGATTCATTTGTGAAATTTACATATTTTCGAAGACAATAGTGAGTATAAGTTTAAATCGTAAGGCCGCGCCCTCCTCAAAAAAGAAAGTCAATTTTCGTCAGAAATTTGGAAATTGAGATAAATACATGGAAAGATAGTCCGTCTTCAGATCTTTCATAAACGACAAAAGTTTTTATTCGGCACCTTCTATTTTCCAGAAATTTTCGTCACCCCCCGATTCGAAAAATAAGCTGTTTTTTCTCAGTTTATGATTTATCGAACACACAAATAAAAATTCTCTGTCGGCATCCATTCTGTATATTTAATTTTTTTTTGTTTGAAACACCGTGTCAAAACGCAAGGCTTTAAAGAGTTCTTTTTTTTTAAATTAAGTTTTGTTTTTAGTATATATATATAAAGATTTATACAAAATGGCATCTATTTTTAGAGAGTTTTTTGAGTCGCTGAACTTGTAATCCCTTTTCTCTGTTTAAAAAGTAAGAATTTAAAAATAGAATTTTTGTTTGCCAAATGTGCTATTTTTGACCCATATCCTGAAAATTTCATGCGATTTGAACGCACCTAGGCTGAGATCGGTTTTTGAGGGAGGAGGTCTTAATGTAATGAAAGGATCTTATTGCAGATGTCAATTAGGAGAGCAGTGATATTATTAATCTAGCAGAGTCAGAATAGGACGGACATAGAAAAGTATGAGCTAACGAAATTCTAAGTTTAAACGAAACGAAGAATAAAATGATATTTACCATTTCTGATGGCATATATCGTATATATTATCGTTAGAAGAAAAGAAGTTATGTATTGAAGATGTATCTGACAATACTAATAAGTTTAATAAATTAGTAGAATAACCATTTTTTTAAAAAAGATTATTTTAACTACTCGGACAATATACCATAAATTTATAACGGTCAGAGTTTATGAGTTTTGCACTTCAGTCCTTCATGGTGTTGTACTGACAAGGTTTTTTTTTTGAATACCAATTTTTTAACACTAGTCATTTCAAATACAAATTTTGATACTGTTAATATGTAGGATTAAATGTCTGTTTTACTATAACAAGTTAATATTTGATTGAAGATGTCTTCTATCAAGATTTTCTTTCTTTTTTGTTTGTTGGATAAATATAAATGACATATATGTTTCCATTCGAATTTTTTAATATTCGATCCTGATGGAAGAGGTCTAGAGCAATTACATGCGAGCATTTCCGCCCTAGGACAGATTCTATCTTAATTTTTGAACGAACGATACGCATTAATATTAATTCAAACAATAAACTCAATCATTTGAGTGTTGTCTGGAATCATCGATTGATTTCCCCTGGACGTGAATGCAGAGAAGAGATATCCACTCATACTTCCTTTGCATTCGGCCATCATTAACACTATGTCAGGTAGTTAATTATCAAAGTAAAAAAAGACTACAAAATCTGATTGAAAATTCATATCTAGGCGCTAACGATTAGTTAAAATATAGCGAGTGTTTACTATCTCTGCAAATTCTTGTTCAATATGATTTTTTTATATAATCTCGCAGAACAATTAAATAATACATTCGAACTGGTTCTTTTTGTGTTTCTTCAGCGAGAATCTGTCCTAGGACGAAAGTGTCCAATTTTCAATGGAACATATTAGTCTGATATTATATTCCTAATCCATATAAACAGATTTTTTTTCTAATAGTTTTTCAAAGGTAAAATCGTTCTATTTTCGAATCAAGAGTATCATAAAACAAAATCATATCTAATAAGATCAATATATTCATTTACAAAGATATTCTGTTGTTGTATCTTGATTAGAGATTTACGTGACCTTGAGAGAGCGAGAGAGAAAGAAATTGTTCGAATCGTAGGTAAATATTCTTTGGTTTTAAATGAATCATTTTATAAATGATACTAATCAAAATATAACTCAAGAGAAATGACAAAAAACATTGTTATCCATTGACTAAATTCATCAAACAACAAGTATATAAGAATTGTTTTAGATATTATACAAATATATTCAGGAATAGTTTTTTCTAGTTCAATACTAAATGAAATTTATCAAAATTATGACTGGTGCCATTGAAAATAGAAGAAATTAGAATCGAAACTAAAAACAAAAAAGTTGGTCTCGCATATCTGTAGTCCTGACTTATATTTTTTTAAAAAGTCATAACATCAAAAGATTATGACCAACTATATTGAGTATCATTTAAGATTACATTGTTGATTTAATTAAAGAAAACAATAATAATATTCCTTATATAATAGAAGAGAATTTTAAATATGTTCATTCAAATCAATATTTCAAATAATATAAATTGTTTTTAGATGATCAATGTCAACTATACAAAATTTGAACATCTTCCAAATGAATTATTGTATGAGATTTTTGAATATATTGATATTCGAGATTTATTTTATGGTTTCTGGGAATTGAATAAACGAATAAATCATTTACTTCGATCTATTCAAAATCTTTCATTTAATCTTGAACAATATGAACCAATATTAATATCATTATTTGCTAAACAAATTAATCGATTAATTGTTAATACATGGAAAGATATAGATCTCAGTCAATTTTCTTCTTTAAAATTACTTATTTTACATCAAATAACAGGAAATCAATTACGACAAATTCGATCAGAATTTATGCCTTATCTTGTTTATCTTTCTACTTCATCAATACCTGAATTTTCTCTAATGCCTCAATTAGCTCAACGTATATTTTCTAATGAAATGCCTACTATTCGATATGTTGATTTTGGTCATGTTCATGTGCCATATTTACGTATGTGGTCTCAATCACCTTCACTTCATTCAGTATCTATACATAGTACAAATCCAACTATTATTCCATTTATTCTTATTTCATGTCCTAATCTTGTTTATCTTCATGTTGCTTTTTTAAATAATACGATTTCAATATTTCATAATTCACCATCAATTCAAAATCATTCATTAAAACATTTTGTTCTCTCCGATCCATATCATAAATTATCATTTAATCATATTTATACACTTCTAGCATTTATTCCAAATGTACGAAAAATTCAATTAAATTTTTTATGTAAAGTTCCATTTATTCGTTTTCTTCAAAGTTTATTAAATCGTTTAAGATATTTAAATCGATTTGATTGTAATATTGATGATGCATCAAATGATAAAATAACAACTATTGAAACAATTCAACAAATTCATCCATGTTTCTTTCGAATTCAATGTTCAACAAATGATTTTAACTTTCGAACATTTACTACAGAGTCAAATAAATAATTGTTTTTTATTTTTAAAATAAATAAATAGATTCTTAAAGAATCATGTTGAAATGAATAGTCATCTATTTCGATTGGAATTATTGTTAAATAAAACTCTGATTGAGATGTTTGAAATCTGTTTGGAACATTTTATAATTTCAACTTACGTTACATTACACTACTTCGCATCTCTCTATTTCTTCTGTTTTCACATTTGAGGTTAATGAAAATTTTCAACTTACATTCAAATGCTGATTTTTAAAAGAAAAAATATTAGTACATTCAACCGATCGACAAATGTTTATCGACTTATTCTGCATGAATCTTGAATCGAATTGCAAACAAGCAGGTTTCTGTTCTTCTATAACTTTCACCGTTGTAACTTTTCTAATTGATATTATTCATACAATCCTTTTACATGTTATTCTTCATTTAAAGTTGTTTTATCTCTCTTAACTAATAAAAATATAGATAAATCAACAACGGAAGAACTAGCTTTTCTTGTGCATTTTAAAACTTGAATAGATTAACGTGCGTCTCTACAAAACATAAAACTTATTATATCTTAATTGATACTGTCTTAGACTCTGAAAATGATCATTACGTGGGATCTCATATGAAACCACATGAGTCTGGAGTGAATAATAATAAATCTTTCTGTCGATGGTTTGTTGGACGTATGTGTACGCATGGATACAAGATTCTTCAAAACGCACATCCACACATCAATCCACACCCACACCCACACGCACATCTACATTCACTCACATACACATCCTTACATCTCCAAACCCAAATCCTTTTTAACATATTCGAGATCATATATGATATGTAAGTCTTAAAAAGCCTTCATAAATTTTTTATTCAATTGAGCTTTAGAAAAAACGATTGTCACATTTCTGATGTCGAAATTTTATTTCCAAAATAGCTTTCTCATTTTGTAGTTGTTTTACTGTTTTTCAAGTGCAATTACAAATGCATGCGTCAGAAATGATGTCATGTTCTGACGTTGGAAGAAACCCAGTCATAAGCAAGTTGGCTTTTTCCTGTTTCTTTAAATTTAATTGAGAGCTTCACGAAAAGGAATTAGCTCTTGCAGATATACAAAATGGAAGGTGTGGATGCAGATGTGAATGCCAGTGTGGATTTTATTTTGATTCACTTACACCGATATCCACCCACCCCGTAGTTTTTCCAGTAAACTGGTGCTCACATTGATGACAATTCGATGGTATTTTTTTTGTCCAAATATTCGTTATTCCATTTAAATT